ATCCTCAAAAAACTACTTAAGTACTGTAACAAAGTAAATGTACTTAGTTACTATAAACCTCTGTTACATAGAAAATAAACTTGACTTCTCATCATATCTGTTTCTAAATGCCTTGAAGTTGGCCTCTGCCTCTTTAAGAACCTCCTTCTACTTCTGTCCCACCCATTTCAGCACAGGGCAGGTGGGTGTGTCTTCTGTGATGAGGAAGCTCAGCTTGGAGACACAGCCCAGAGGAGGAGCTGATCCCAAAAGGCGGTTCTAGTCCCAACTGGTTGTTTTTGCTCCCCTGCCTGGCTGACTCAGGACACTACAGGATTTATCAGACATGCATGAATGAGTCAAAGCAAGACTCTGGGCATGTTTTTGATGAGAGGATAATATTATAACATGATATAAAGCTCAAAAAAGTTGATTTTACTGATGTAGCCCCTTTAAATATTTATTATGAAAACCAAAATGTGTCCAAACATCTGCTTTTAAGGACAAAGGCATGTCCAGTCAGAATACTACAGGTCATTTCGCTGGCAGTGTGGTCGCTCGGCAGCCGACCGGACGACGCGCCGTCACGTGGTTCGGCGTTCGTTTTCGCGCACACCATATCTCCCTGATGAGACACCCCGTGCCGAGCTCCTGGGAAACCCCTCCCGCTGCAGCATACATCACTGCATGGGATTTCATCCCGCTGAAGTCCACAATGCCTGATACATATATTTCTGAGCAGATGTCACACCTGCTGGATTGAATATATATTTGGTTTGTTTGATTATTTGGACGTATTACAACTTTCAGTATACTTGAACAATGTAAAAGTGACACCTAGAAATACCTCTTTCCAATTAGTTTTTATACATTTGTTTATACAGATGTTGTACAATTAAAAACAAATATGACACACTGACAAAATAATAAAAAAAGTCCACAGTGAAGAACCTGTTCTCATGTTTAAAACCTATTTTTCTTTGTATTCACAGGTGTTACGTCCCAAGTCTGTTCAGTGAAAATGGAAAGCACAACCCCAGTAAGTCGAGACCCATGTGCGCCAGACTCAGCACCACCTCCCAGTACTGCCACCAGGTGTAGCTCAGAGCAGGTGACCATCAAGCAGGAGGAGCCGGAGCAGGAAACAGGGGGGGCGTCTTGCTGTTTGGACTTSATTAAAGAGGAGGATTTAAGCCTGGAGGACATAAAGTGGCTGCCAGAAGTTTCTGATGTTCACAACCAAGACCCACATGCTCCACTGCTCAGCAGCAGGCTGGATCAGGGTAAGAGACATTAGAGGAAGGCTGTGATAATAAGAGGATAAATCTGTGTTTATACCTGTATTATAAGCTGTATTACAAGAAGGTAAAGGTGAGTTGGGATGGTTAGATGTTCACAAGACTAATGACTAAATGTTTTAAAACATTTCCAAAGAACCTCAGAACAMTTTAGGGAAAGACTTTTGTGCTTTTCATTAACTAGAGATTGATGGGAGAATTTACTGAWATCTAAGTGCTTTAAACTTTAGGACATTATTATTAATGTGAAGACAAGCRTGCATGATTTTACTTAACAGCAGATGAATGTAGAACAAAGAAATTAGTTTGGTTTAAGTCAAGACAAGCTTTTAGCTAAATGTATTAATTATTGCTTTATTAATTGCACTAAAGGCGTGGGGGTATTATGCAAAATTGWCTTTGTTGAGCTTTAAATCATGTTATGATGTCATTCCCTCATCAAGAAACATACTAGTGTTGCTTTGACTCATTCCTGCATGTTTGAGAAATCCCAAGTAGTGGTCTCTGCAGTACGTTTTCTCGTGGGCGGAGTTTTCCCTAACCGTGATTGTGTGATTGACATCTTGTGGGGCAACTTAAAAGAGGAAGTAATAATAGTAAAATAATAATAATAATAAATAATAATAATAAAAGAGTTTTTGACTGTCAG